GAATATAAGACGACCGCGTTTTTTCAGATGTATTTCCAAAAAAAAAACATCGTCTTATATTCGGGTCAATACGGTAAAAGTGAAAAGACTGTAGAATTTTCCGAGTTAAACTGTTCCGAATCATTCCACAACAAGCAGGTGAACTGGTAAGAGTTGCTGTCTATGTAGAGCACACTAAATCATTTTTAAAAACCTTTTTAAGGTCCGTTCCAGCTTTGGAACAGAGATGAAAGAAACAGTCCTGACCTGTTCCAGACGGAGGACAAACACACTTTCAGCTGAGCTTCAGTACGATGATCAACCAGAAAAGAAGCCTGATGACTTCAACTACACATTATTACAATTCACTTTAATGGAGCATGCAAAACCACCAAATTACACAGCTGCTATGCATTTAGTACACATTATGATAAAAGTATACTTGTAAACACACAATAATAAATATGACAAATATCTGTGGTTTGATTAGACTTCCTCTGGTCCATCATTCCCACCAGCATTAAAACGTCAAACTGAGCGCTGAACTGATGACGCATGATCAAACCAGTCAACAGAAATGCAGATGGATGAGAGGAGAGAAAACACAACACTGATCTGCAGAAGAACACAACCAAACACTCGGAAAAGAACATGTAGGACAAAGAAACAGCCTGACCATCAACAAAAAGAAGAAGAAGAAGAGTGAAGGAAACAGCAGGAACGACAGCACACGACACCGACTGAACAGCTCAGACCAATCAGAGCGGAGGAGGAAGAGGAAGAGGAAGAGACTGGGGCGATTGCTGCTGAGAGACCATCATCATCATCATCCTCTCAGAGCAGCACAAACCACAGAGACACACGCTCCTAACCAAACACCCAGCCGCTGCACCTCTGACAGCCTGACAGGAAGAGGAAAGGAGGAGCAGGAAGGGGAGGAGCTTACAGAGTACAGACACGCCCACTGCTTTTGGAGACTGCAACAGAAAACGGGTGTTTCTGCAACTACTGCAACTTTACAAATGCCATTTATGTGTAGATTTCAATCATTTTACCCTCATCCCAGACCCAGGCGTTCAAAAATTAAATAAACATTTTTTAAATCCTTCGTAAAAATATTACTCCAAAACAAGAAAAAATACTCTAAAACAATAAAAAGAGAGTACTCTAAAATAATAAAAATGTTTTACTCTAAATAATAATCATATTACTCTGTAATAATAATAAAAAATATTCTAAAATGAAAAATATTTCTCTACAGTAATAAATATATTCTTCTAAAATAATGATAAACATTCCTCTGAAATGATAAAAAAAATACTTCAAAAAAAGGTTCCTCTAAAATAATAAAAATATGCCTTTAAAATAATATTACAGTAAAAAAATGAAATAATATTCCTCTAAAATAATAGATATCACTCTAAAATAATAAAATATTACTCAATAATAAAATAATTATAAAGAATATTCCTCTAAAATAATTTTAAAACTCTATAAATAAAAATACATATATAAAAATATTGCTCTAAAATAATCTATCATAATCTAAACAAAGTAAAATGAACATTTCTTGTGTGACAATCTATTTTTGCTGTAGGTCAGTATAATTTTGTCATATAATATAAACAGTCCAAATATTATTTTATTTTACTTAGGAAATAAAATTCTAGCTACTAGCTAAATTAGAGTTAACAAAACAAAGGTGTCAGTCATTTTCTAAAAATATTTTAAATGTATTTTCCACTAGGGTTGCAAAGGGGTGGAAACTTTCCAAAAATCCCTGGAATATTCCAAAAAAATCCTGGAAAGTCTGGAATATTTCCGAAATTTACTGGAAATTTTCCACCTTTTTCAACCGTATTTTCCACCACGGAATGAATGATTCTCCAGCGATCCTGTCTGCATTTGAATAAAGTTTAATTTCTCAGTGTCCATAGTCGAAGAAACACCCTTAAATATGAACTTACTTTGCATCTCAACACTGCTGTTTCCTGTTATCGGTGAATATCGGTAAAAATATCGGATTATCGGCCTCTCGAATCAAAACAGCATCCCTGTTCTTACATCTAGAACTGAGCAAGTCCTGAGAGGAGAGCGGAGACGGCGCGTGATTGGCTACTGCTCTACTGGGGGCGGGGCATGTGACAGGAAACGCAGGGCAGAGGGAAGGTGTTGGGCTCAGGGCTAACCACACAGCTAAACCACAGCAAAACAGCAGAAGGCATAATTACCACGCTCATGAGTGATGACTGATAAAGGGGAAGACGGTACGGAAAAAAAGAAAAAAAGGAAAGAAAAAAGTGAGAGGTCATACAGGTCACAAGGTCAGTCGCTGTTGAGTGGGAAAAGCAGACTTGGATTCAATCAGCACCATTCTGAACAATCACGCATCTAACCAGACGCGACACATTTCATCTGTCCACACCGATCACAGCCAATCAGAGCACAGATGCTGTTTAACCAATGAGATTTCACGCTGTGGGACAGAACCCGAAACCGAACTGAGATCAACATCGTGCCGCATCTGGTTAGGACTAGTCTGAATAAGTAACCAGACGCTTCCACCTAACTGATGATGAGTCTGACTTTAGCAGAAATGATGCTGACTGAATCCAAACCTGAGTGAATAAAGTGCAGAACTGTTTAGAGAGGGATTCATGACAAAACAAGTCAAAATTCAGAGAGAAAGAAATAATCAGAGGAAGAAGGTTAAAGGAATAGTGCAGACAAACATGAACCTCCTGTCATCGTTTACTCGGCTTCACGTCCGCTCAAACCTCCTCAGTGGAGATGATTCACACAACGTTCATGAGGCTCTTTTACAATCAAAGGCAATGCTGACAGACGCTGCTGAGCTCGTATACGCGCGCGTTTCTCACGCAAAGCATCATAAGACCTGGAATATAGTGCAAAACTGTATTTATGAGGAGTTTTTGTCCTTTCTGGAGCCTGACACATTACTCTATAATAATACAAATTCTCTAAAATAATACTCTACTAAAATAATGATAAATATTTCTCTAAAATAATTTTAAAAAGTAAATTAATAAACATATTCCTCTAAAATAAAATAAAAAATATTATTCTATCATAAAAGCATTACTCTTAAATATATCAATTGACATCTAAACAAAGTGAAATAGACATTTATTGTGTGAAAATATTTTTTTTATATATATTTATATTTTTTGTCATTTACAATCAAGCTTTAATTTTATCATCAAGCTTTAACAGCGTTATTATTTAATTTTATTTAGGATGTTTCAGTTAACATTTATTTTATTTCAAGTAACGAAAATGTTTTTTTATTTTTATTTTTTTATTTTTAGTTAACTATAATAACCCTGTGGTAAAAAATTTACCAAACCGTCTTAATCAGTATTTATCTTTCAATACATAAATATCAAGATATATTTACTTATTAATCACTTTAAACACTTATTTAAAACTTTTCAAACTATTTAAATGTTTAACCATTGCTTTCAGAAAAATGCAAAGGCTTATATCACTTATTATTATTATTATAATATCGCCGGCTCGTCGTTTTATTCTAAAACTGATTTTAAATGAATGAATGTTGATCTGGGATGTGATGGATCTGATTCTCCTGTGATCCTGCTTTTGTGTTCCACTGAAGGAAGAAACTCATGCAGGTTTGGAGCGACGTGACGAGGACTAAACGATGACCGAGCGTTCATTTTTGGGTGAACTAGTCCTTTAAAGTCATGTTACAACACAGCAAACATAAAGAAACCTGAAAAAGAATATAAAATTCATGCTTCATCTCTGAGACTCAAATGAAATGAGCTTTGAAAATAAGTTCAGTTCACTTAAAATGGCAAAAGCATCACTTCTCAAAGACAGACTTCTTAAAGACAGAGAGAGAGACAGCACATGTTAGGGTAGGGTTAGTGTCTAACGCACACTATTGAGTGCTCTTTTTTCTCATTGCATCCTTGCGAAAAAAATCATCAGGAGCTTTTTTTAGATTCAAGTCTGAGTATTTCTGCTTACAAACGTCTGAAGACCGTATCAAGCATTCATCATCATCATACACTCAAACGTACACAAACGTAAAGAATAAGGAGAAAATAATTAAATCTGACAAAGACATCTTCAGAATGGATTCTGGGATATGTGCCATGAGCGCTCAACACAACAGTAGCATTACTGTAGTTTTAAATCAATAACTCAACTAAATTAACACAGAAATGGCATGATAAATCAAGTGGAATGAAAATGATGATTAAAATTACCCGCTCTATCACTTGACAGAATTACACAGATCAAGCTCTAATCATAGTTATTGATTATAAATCATATAAATCATACCTGATCCTTCCTCCGTCACCATCCCGAGACCTTCAGCTTTATTCTGCCTCTCGAAGGCGTTGAGATCCAGAACACTGGAGCACAAACATCATTCACTATAATCACACACACACACAGACACACACTCTCACACGCACACACACACACACACACACACACAGACACACACTCTCACACACACACACAGACACACACACACACACAGACACACACACACACACGCGCGCGCTTCGGCTTCAGTCATGTGACGCTCAGCAGGAAGTTGATTTACCTGCACGACTGCATCAGTCCCGCCAGACTCTGGAAAAACCCCACGTCCCGTTTGTCCTTCAGGTAGTCCAGCATTTTCTGCAGGTGGATGACAAAAAGCACACAAACACGTCAAAGCGCAGCACAGTGAACCATGGGAGTCTAGTCCACATACTCACATTCCAAGTGACATGAACATCAATGTGAATTTTTATGTATCTTCTTGTTTTTTATTGCATGTATGTTATCTAGTGATGCACTGACATTTTTTGAAATCAGTATCAGAGTCTATTTCACACAACGTGGATCAACTACAACAGATCAGCATGTCAGCTGTGTGACGCTAGTGCTGCATTAATACCCATTTCTCATTTTTAATCGATACTGATATGGATTCTTAAATCTCAAGATCAGTCTTTCAGTCTGTGCTGTTTTCTGCTGATGCCTGTCACTAAACATTATTTGCAGCTCCTCCCATCCAATAATCACAATAAGCTTTGTGAATTTTGACATGAAACAAAGTCTCGGTTTTCAAATCATTATGAAATTCAATCAATAAATGCAGTTTTGTGGCTCTTTGATGTGTGATTCAGATCAGATCGCTGTCACGTGAAGCGGTCATCTCTTCCTCTTTACTACTAGTTACATCAGCAACAACTTACTGAAATCAGTCATGAATCATGGAATCAATCAATCAGTGTTTCAACAGTCAATAAAACAGCTTGTGATCAGTATCGTCACATGACCTTAAACTTGAGAGTCAGCTAGAAAAACAACTCTAGAAATGAGCGCTTTGATAAATATATGCACTATACTATATATTCATTATTTTTACTTAAACAGTTGTCTTCATGTTTGAATAAATCTATCATGAAAACAAATTTTATTAAGGCCACTGTTTAAATGTTTACATAAGTAGAAAAAAAAGCTTGCTCTATTCTTTTTCTATTCTGTCTGTTTTCTTTTTAACACTTGCATATTATTGCTCTTTTGTTAGTTTTGATTGCTTCTATTGTCCTCATTTGTAAGTCGCTTTGGATAAAAGCGTCTGCTAAATGACTAAATGTAAATGTAAAGTAGAAACATAATTCCGTCCACCATTCAGTTTTTATTTGTGTGATGAGTACTAAATAAATTAGATTAATTAATTGTTTATTATATAACATTTCGGTTTCAGTTTTCAGCCAAGTGCATCTTGAATTTTTAGTCTCGGCCCAGAATTTCGCTAAACTGATAAACGAAGTAAACTAAACTAAACGTAACTGAATGAGACGGCGGATGTGTGTGTGTCTGTCACCTGCTGGACGGTTGAGTTTCCTCCGTTGAGTATAGCGATGCCCAGCTTCAGTGTGGAGGCCACCATCGGCCCCATCTCTCCTGCACAAACACACTCTCATCAGCGCATGATCACCACAAACCTGCATCAGCTCGGGCTTTCAGAGATTTCTGACCTTTGCTGGCGCTGATGGTCTGCAGCACCATCTCAGCCGCGCCGCGGTCGTGCAGTCGGGCCTGCTGATACAGCAGCTTCTGCTTCTCCATCTCTTTCTCCTGCAGGACAGATGGAAGAGCGTCGTAATACTGCTCCAGTGAACGTCTCACGCCACACACTGACGACTCACACATGTGCCAAAACACATTGTGTTTTCAGTGCTGGCGCTGGGTGAAGATCTGTATCCCCAAAGCCACAGCAGAATCTCCTCTAACACGGACTGTATCAATCCAGACGAAGCTTATCATGTCACAGCACAGCACTTCTACATCCTTCTGCTCTTGAGAGGTGATCTAAATAGCTGTGACTTGAAACAGATGGAAAACGGACAGTGGGCCTGTGCTGCAGTTTATGGATGTTTTTCTCTCCATTTTTTTTGTGCCAAAAATTTTGTGAAATTATGAATAGAGCTCAAGAGTTACAGAAGTAGAAATTGCTTGCAAGTTTTTCATGTTAAAAATATAAACCTTCATGAGCTCAGATGTTGTTCAGTGATGACAGACGATTCTGTAGGAACTTTTTAAACATTTCTAAACAGGGCTAAGAAATATGACCATGTCACCCCAACTTTAGCTCCGCTTCATAGGCTTCCGGTCCATTTTAGGATTCAGTTTAAAATTTTGTTGTTCCCAAATTCTCATTTAAGAATTACATTAACAATAATCCAAAGGATGTAGCAGATTGGCTTATACTGTCAAACTACTCCACTATTTGAATATATTTTCTGATCATGTTTTAATCGTGGTGTGCTAGTTCAGATCAGACTATGGGACATGGTCACTGAAAGCTAGTGTAGACGAACATGAGACCCTCAGGATGAAGCATCATGTCCGTCACAATGTAACAAACACCGGCAGCAACATCACTATCGCCATGACGACACAGGAAGCGGCGGCCGCCCCGGTGCAACATGCTGTGACTTACATGACGCTTCAGCTGAGATCGCTGAGGAAATAAAAGGTCTTGAATGAATGAGAAACCACCTGCGAGTCCAAAAGGAATGAACGAAAGCCATGGACATGAACATTCAGCGCTGGTTACCAGAGACTGCTCTTCTTTGCTGGCAATTTTGATGCTTAAATCTTTCATTATATCACACTGTGGAAACAAAATTTAGTCATTTCATACTTGGGCCTGTAAGTGTGTTTGAAGGGTGACGTGGCGTGTTGATGTTAGCCATGCGGACGCGGCGGCTAGTCAGCGCTCAAGACACAGGACTGTTTTCCTAATGTTTTTGAAAGGTAAATCACACAGTGCCGCTGATGCAACAGCATGAAGTGGTCCGATGATTTTAGCTGAACCACAACAGGTCAAATCTAATGGTTTTAGATGGGTTGTCAGGCTGGGAGATCTGTTTAAACCTGCAAAGACCAGATGAAACCACCTTAGACTGGTTCCAGCTGGTCTATCTCAGGCACACCAGCTAATATTCCACCTGGCCATCCACCTAAACCAGTTCTGATCAACTAATGACCAGCTTTAATGAGTTGAAAAACCAGTTTTAACTAAGGTGGTTTCAGCTGGATTCAGATTCTTCAGGTTGAAGTTCAAAGCAATTCAAGCGTGCATGTGCAAAACCAACTCAGATGAAAGTCTATATTGTAGCCCTGTGGAAACCCAACCAGTTTAAACCAGTCTAAGGTGGTCTGCAGGTCTATGACCGGTCTCCTGACCCGACAAGTGCTCAAAATACCTCTAAAACCAGCGGAAACCAGACCAGTAGCAGGTTAAGACCAGCAGACCACCGTAAAGGTTTTTTGAATTCAAATGTTCAGAGCTGTGATCTACATGAGGTCAGGACACATGAGACGGTCAAACACGCCTTCATGTCTGAGATGCTTCACGATCTTCAAAGCTGCCAAGAAAATCCAACTCAAAGTGTACGAATGCATTTAAGAGGATCCGTCCCGTCCAGTCACCTACCTCAAAACTCTTGACCTCCTCTTCATCCTCCTCCTCTTCATCATGACAGCTCTGTGAGTGTTCATACAAACAGCACAGGATCAATCTGAGCGTTTCCCACAGTGGAGCTTATAATGTCAAAAGAAAAGGCTTGTTAAAGGAGTCTTACCTTAGCCATGATATCAGCGTAAGCCATGTAGAGATTGTCCTCCTCGAGTTTACTACAACAAACCAACAACAACAACATTAGATCAGGGACAGAATGGCATCGATGTGATCTACGAACAAACTCACTGTGGTTTGGACTATTTATATCAACTGAAGGCTGAAGGAAACCCACCATTTCTCGGTCAGCGCGGTTCTGCTGAACAGTTGTATGAGCTGGTGTAACGGGTCGATGTGTTTGGTCATCTCGTCCTCCTCCGACGGCTCCTCTCCACCCGGTTTCTAAAACACCAAACACGCTAAACACATGCCAACTACCAACACCAGATGAAATTCAGTCCAAACCACCATCAATAACAAATGTGAGAAAACAGAATCATCAACGCTCTCAATCAAACCACGGCAGACTTGTGATGTTCATCCAGCTCTTGAAAATAAAGCTTCCAGAAGGGGGTTTTCACACTCATACCATTGAAGAACCATTTCTGGTTCCCCAAAGAACCTTTCAGAGATCAGTTTTTAAAAGGACCATTTTTTTCTTAGTGTGAAGAACATTTTTCCACTATAAAGAAGCTTTTGTGCAATGGAAAGCTCTTCATGGAACCATCAATGCCAATAAAGAACCTTTATTTTTAAGAGTATATAGCACCTTCCGTAGCAGAAATTGACTTTATTAACTGGACTGAAAAGACTTCCGAATGAAATTGTGATTGAAAGGGGTGGTGAAGATCTTAAATAATCTGTTTGACAGAACATTTTAGCCATGTAAACTTTTGAACCTGACTACTTTATAAATTTGGATTACGCACATATAAATGAACATTCGAATCAGATTGCTAAAATTTGGGTTCATATAAACAGAACTTTCAGAACCTCAATTCAGACTGAATTCATTCTGCAAAAATCAGTTCATGCAGTGTTAATTTCGTTTCGTCAACAACATTTTTTTCACTGACGACAACGAGACGATAGCGAACTAAAACTCTTTTTGAATGACAAAAACTATGACGTAAATCTATTGACATTTTCGTCAACGAATAAAAACGAGACGAAAATGTTAGGGAGGGATGATTTGGGAAGAGATTCATTCAGAACAAATCTGCTGCGTGGTTCGGAGGTTATGCGTACATATGAACCGGCGGGACATAAGCTAACATACACTTGCTGCACGTCGCATAAAACATTCAAAAATGTCAATATGAACCGGCGGGACATAAGCTAACATACACTTGCTGCATGTCTCATAAAACGTTCAAAAATGAAAGAGAAGAGCAGACATATGGATAAATCTGACGACGCAAGAGAGAACTCAATTCTGTCCGGTTTTCTGAGCGCAGACACTGAAGCAAACACACAGAAAGCGCCTCTCACAGCGCACGAGTACTCTTTCGCGTCGCATGAACGGAGAATTACACACAAAATTATGTCGAATTGTCCGTTTTGACGAGTATTCACGTAAACACAGTTGATTACGTCTTAAGTGAACGTAAACAGCAGGGAGAACGTGTATCAGTACATTGCATCCAATCGCAGCGGTGCATTCGGTTTTAAAGGGACAGCAGCCTAATTTATTTGCTATTGTCCGAGTCATTGATGTTAATCAAGCAACAAAAGAAAATCACGCACTGCTCGACTGAAAAACTTTAGTAGCCCTAAAGATTAATCTAAAACATACAGACCGCTCCATCAAAACACGCCTTCCGTGCAGAACGAACATCAAAGAACTCAAGGATTCAGAATTTAGATTCTAGTCATTCTGTTTCAAGTTGTCTCCTCACTTAACCATCTTTTGCTCAAAAACAACAGCATGTAAAACGGCACATTATGCAGCGATATCATCTGAAAGTTCCTGCTCTGCACATCAAATGACGTCTGAATGGATGTTGTGTGTAATAAATACGTACGGCCAAATCCTCAATCAGCTTGTCCTCAAAATAATGCTCTTCTGTCTCGATCCAGGACTTCTCATAACCCTGGAGGAACAGGTTCACGGCTCTGTGCCTGAGAATCAGAGAAGCAGAATCAGGAATCATTGAGATCATCAGAGATCATCCAGATCCAGGAGACAGAAGATCTTCACCTGGGCAGGTTGTAAAGCGGCGCCATCCTGAAACAGGCCACTACGGCTCTCTTCCTCTGTTTAGACAGCAGCTTGTGCCACACGGCCTTCTTACTGCGCTGAGGATGTTCGACCTGCTTACACAAACACATCATCTGTGACACGCACTATACAGCAAATCTCATCTGCTTCATTTCTCGCAAAATGGAACTATATTGCAGTAATCTGCTAAATGCAACTATAAGGGATGAAGATACTAGGTTATTATAAACATCAACATTCCGATTTTCTGTAAAGTTGCTGTAAAAATGTTTCTACACCAACTTGCATGAGCTCATTAACATATACCCCGCCCACATTTACATATCAACTCCTATTCGAGAAACTGCCCTGATGACACCTGTAGGCAGATGTCAGCCAATCATAGGAGAGCTCATTTGCATATGAAAGTCTAGAATATGACTTTGACGTTAAAGTCACAGTGCTTTACTAGAGTAACATTAACCTGATCGAGGTGGAAGAGCACATGTGCGATGTTCAGCACTCTGTAGACGGTCTTCTCGGGGTCAGACGTGTCCTCGCTGCGGTTGGGCATGTCTTTATACAGCGCCATCTGCCAGCGGATCGCAGGATCCTCCAGCTGCACACACACACACGCACACACGCACGCACACACACACACCGATGAAGCTGTAGCACGCGTGTGCCGTGTGGGACACTGAATGATAACATGCACAGTGTTAGCAGTGAGAAGCATGCGTGTTTAAATCACAAATGTAAGGTTTCTGCAGGTTTACAGTCACTGTGCTGCTCATACTCACCCGCCGTATCAATTAGTTGCTGCTTAACTGCATGAAGTCAAACTTTAGGGTTAAGCTCATGTCACCTCAAACTACCAATGCTTATTAAACATCAATGACTTTGAACCACTTTGTGTTGTAAATGGCTGTCAGTGTGAACGGATCTTCACAGGACTTGTGTTTGTGATGATCATAAAGCTCTTCTGATCCACGGCTTCTCTCACTCTTACCAGTTTATTGCATGCAAACACGTTTCTGCGGCTGATGTGGGCGTCTCTGTGCGGCTCGATCTGCTTCAGAGGAGCTTTCACATGTTTAGAGGTGAAGTCCACAGATGAGGCCTTCTTCAGGAGGGACGGGTTTGTTCGCGCGGGACGCTGGGTGACGCGTTTGTGAGGCGGGATTTCTGGACCCGCGGCTTTAGACTGACGACTCTTCATCCACTTTAAGATGATGATGAGTCTCTTGACCAGCTTTTGGAAATGTAAAGCGCGGTACTGATGCATGCAGACATGCAGACGGACACATGAGGGATGAGACGGAGATGAAGTTACACACATGCAAGAGATCAAGGGTCAATGACATGTGCGGATGTACAGGACCGCAAAGGAAAAATCTCGTTGGCAAATGTAATATTTGTGTTAATTTTGGTTTTATACTTTTAAACAAAATATCAAAATGACTTTAATTCAGAAACTGAAAATATGTTCATCAAAGAAGATCAGTATACAATTTGTTTAATGATGTATAAATATTGAATTTAAATATGTATTTAAACAGATGAATAATTTAAAGGTATAATAAATATATTTAGATACTTAGATTTAGATACAGATATATATTTTTAATTGCATTCATTTCAAATTTTTGTCAAATGTGTGTAATTGCCCAAAAATAATATGACAATGCAAATTTTTTTTTTAATTATAGTCAAGTCCAGTCACCTTTATAAAATACAGATTGTGTCAAAGCAGCTTTACAGGAAAATAATGTTTCAATGATGCAAAGAAAATTCAATTGTGCTGTAAAGTAATTATTATATTTAATGATATGTAAGTATTTAATTTAAATTTAAAAAAAAAAAATTTAAATGCACTTTTTGGAAAAGGTGCTCAATTGCTAATAAAATAATTTGGAAACGCAATCAATGTTTTTTTTTTTTTTTTTTTTAATTAACCCTCTTTTTTAAACCACAGAACATATTTACTGGAGTACTACAGAAATAAACAATCTGGCTTTGAGAAACCCTGAAAACCCTAATATATATATATATATATATACAGTGGGTACGGAAAGTATTCAGACCCC